GAATTCTCTCATGTGTTTTCAGGGTTCCTGAGCGAGCAAACCTCTTACTGCACTGTGAACACTTGTACGGTTTTTCTCCAGTGTGAACCCTCTGGTGGCGTTTCAATTCTGCAGCTGTAATAAAAGTCTTCTCACACTTCAAGCACATAAACTCTTTCTCTCCAGTGTGGATCATCATGTGTCGATTAAGGGATGTTGATTGGCTAAAACTCTTCTCACACTGAGTGCATGTGAATGGTTTCTCTCCACTGTGATTCCTCATGTGTATATTAAGGTTTGATGATTGGCTGAAACTCTTCCCACACTGAGTACATGTGAATGGTTTCTCTCCAGTGTGGATCCTCATGTGTTGATTAAGGGATGATGATTGGCTGAAACTCTTCCCACACTGACTGCATGTGAATGGTTTCTCTCCAGTGTGAATCCTCATGTGTTGATTAAGGTTTGCTGAGTTGCTGAAACTCTTCCCACACTGGGTGCATGTGAATAGTTTCTCCCCAGTGTGGATCCTCATGTGTTGATTAAGGGATGTTGATTGGCTAAAACTCTTCCCACACTGAAGGCATGTGAATGGTTTCTCTCCAGTGTGGTTCCTCATGTGTATATTAAGGATTGATGATTTGTTGAAACTCTTACCACACTGAGTACATGTGAATGGTTTCTCTCCAGTGTGTATCCTCATGTGTAGATTAAGGGATGATGATTGGCTGAAACTCTTCCCACACTGACTGCATGTGAATGGTTTCTCTCCAGTGTGGATCCTCATGTGCTGATTAAGGTATTGTGATTGGCTGAAACTCTTCCCACACTGACTGCATGTGAATGGTTTCTCTCCAGTGTGGATCCTCATGTGATGATTAAGGTATGGTGATTGGCTGAAACTCTTCCCACACTGAGTGCATGTGAATGGTTTCTCTCCAGTGTGAATCCTCATGTGTTGATTAAGGTTTGCTGACTTGCTGAAACTCTTCCCACACTGGGTGCATGTGAATGGTTTCTCTCCAGTGTGAATCCTCATGTGTTGATTAAGGTGTGATGATTGGTTGAAATTCTTCCCACACTGAGTGCATGTGAATAGTTTCTCTCTATTGTGGATCCTCATGTGGATCTTTAGTTTGCTTTTGTTTGCCAAACTCTTCCCACACTGATTGCAGGTAAAACAACGCTTGTCTCTCATTTTTAAAATATCATCAGTCTCTAAATGAGTTTTGTCTTCAATTTTGACATGATGTTCCTCCTCTTTACTCCTCTCATACTCTTTAACTAGGTCTGAAATAATAAAAAAAAGTTCAGCTTTTAGTAAATCATTAAAACTCTCAGTGAAAAGGAAGTAAAAACTTTAATTTTGATGCACATTAAATGTAAAAACAGCAGATCATATTTAGATTGATCTTGTCATATTAACCTCCTAGTGTCCATTACACACAAACACATTTAAGCGAATACTTATATGATTAATCCCAGAGCATTTTGGTCATATTGATGAGACATAAATTTGAAAGCTGTAAATGGCCAGTTTCTATTTGTATATATTCGTAATCACACAAAACAACATGTTTTTGAAAAACTTGTAAAGCAGATAGGGAATGCTTTTTCATTCTGTGCCTGACTGGTAAACCTGTCAGAAAAAAAGCAGCTGAATCTCTGAGAATATTTGCCCCACAGACATGAGACATATCTGCATAACATCTGCATAAAGCCTTAAACCTGCACCTTTAGATGACAAATGTTCTCTGGTTTAGTAATCTGCATGTAACGAATGCAATGCAGAATACTAACACTTAACTGTTTCAGATCATCAAACAAATGTAAATATTAGACAAAGATAACATAACTAAATGCATTGTGCAGTTTTTAAATGAAGAATTTTATTCTTAAAAGGAAGACAAAACACTGAACTACACAGACTTGTGTGAAAATGTTTTTCCCCATTAAACATAACTTTATTTATCACACCGGGTTCAAGTTCTCCAGCCACACCCAGACCTGATAACTACCACACGTTCTCAATCAAGAAATTACCTAAATAGGACCTGTCTGAAGTAGACCAAAAGAGCCTCAAAAGCTAGACATCATGCCAAAATCTAAAGACATGTAAACACAAATGAGAAAGAAAATTCTTGTGTCATAAGTAAAAAAACAAAAAAGAACTGAATTAAATGCAGAAAAACAACAAGGGTTTATTAAGGAGTGAGAACCGGAAAAAGCAAAAATCAAACTAAACACCCGGTCGGGTGAGCGCTGATAAAGTTTCATGGGAAAAAACAACCAGACACTCACTCACTAGCGGTCCTGGACACAAATACAGGGTGAGTAACAAAATAATATGCACACAAATTATCGATAACATACTGACAAACATGAAGGGAATGATGTGGTATAAACAGGAAAAAAGGGAAACGAGAGCTTCTGTGACTGCAAATAAAAGCAGATGACATGAGATAATCTGTAACCCAGAACAGGAGAAGAGAGCAAAAGCGTGAGGTACGGTGACAGTACCCCCTCTCTCAAGAACGGCCCCTGGCATTCCCTTAAGACTCACTATGGAACTAATGAAACTGATCAATGAGAGAGTGGTCCAGAATATCCAGAGCCGGAATCCAACATCTTTCCTGTGGACCATAACCTTTCCAGTCTACCCGATACTGATAACCTCTCTTTAAAGCCATAAAGAATCCGATTCCATGGACCGAAGAATGTGAGCGGGCTTTCATAGATACAGTACATGTCCCTGTCGAAGGTCTGTAATTTTAAGCTAATTATTCATTAAAGGCCAAGCCATTCGCATACGTGACGTACTGTTCTTTATGAGACTGAAATGTTGGTAATAGCTGTGTTTCCATCCAAAAATGAGAACTAAATTTATTTGCAAAACTGGAATATTGTATGAAAAATACACAAATAAATCAGCGTTTCCATCCAATGAATCAAAGAGAACAAAATCGTCACATCCTGATTAACTGGTTCCAAGTATCAACAGTAAAAACAGAATTTATTACGGTAGAAATAGTTACATGAATCTTTTGCTTATTTAATAAATGACTTTCCCCTCAGAGGACAATGAACATGTGGTGGCGTTTGAAGCCATGAGATGCAGAGAACAGACACTCTTGACACACTCCAGACACTCTGGAGATCATTAATAATATAATGACATGAATACTGAAATGGTTCAGGGGCCTGTTTCAGTAAGGAGGTTCAAACAACTCGGAGTTTAAACTAGAACTCTGAGTTGATTTACAGAGAGATTAAAAACTCTAGAGTTTTCGGTTTCAGAACAGCTGATCTGAGTTAGGTCAATCAACTTTGAGTAGACCAACTCAGAGTTAAGCGCGCACACCGTGACTATAAAAAGGCATTATTAATGGAGCGCAGATATTACGAGTGACCAAGGAAACATTTAAAAAAAAAGAGATCACCATTTCTTTCTCCAGCTGAATTTGATGTACTCATGCATAGTTATAGCAAATATGAGCGTATTTATTTAAAAAGAAGCAACCATCAGTGAAACAGAGACAGTTAGCCTGGGAAAACAGCTGCTCAGGTAAATGCGAAATTTTACATTTAAAATATTTAAATATTTAAGTATAGTAAAATAAGTAATGTAATGTGTGATGTTTACAATTTTTTTCTAAACTTTTATACACGTTTATCAGTTTTAATAGATTTAACAGTGCACTTGTGTCTGCCTTTTTACTGATCAAGTGAAAGAGGTTGATATAGTACATATATATAGTACATGTCGAAGGTCAGTGAATTTAAGATAATTATTTATTGTTCTGTGTGTGACTAAAAGGTAGGCAATGTCTATGTTTTCATCCAAATATATTACACAAATTTATGTGCAAACTGGAATATTGTAAAAAAAATGCTAATAAAGCAGCGTTTCCATCCAACGAGTCAAAGAGAACAAAATCCCAAATGTCAACAGTTAAAACAGAATTTACTGTGGTAAAAGAAGCTGCGTCACTTATTTCTTTATTTAATAAAAGTACTTGCGCCTCAGAAGACAATGCTGACATACAGTGAACACATGGGGGCGTTTGAAGCCATGAGACGCAGAGACTCTTGACACGCTTCAGATGCTTGGAGGTAATTAATAATATATACTAATACTGAATCAGTTAAGGCATTTTAAAATGACTAAAACAACATTTAAGACGTGTTACAGTGTGCTCACCCTGCTGGTTTGTCCATTCACACACATTTTCATCATCAAATGATGACCTTTTTTAATGTACATACAGTAATTTGTTCAATAAAAGTGTTTTAGAGAATTAGAATTACCGCTTCGTTTTTAAAAAAAGGGGAGGAGACCAACAGAAACTCTGAGTTTAGAGGATAAAACCTGTTTCTGACCAGGTTAGGTTCACAGAGTAAGTTACCACAGTAACTGACTCTGAGTTAAAGTTACCTCTCTTTCAGAAACAGGCTTGACTTACCCTGCTTGCTCGAGTTGAACAAACCTGCCATTTTGAAACGGAAAACCCAGAGTTTCTCTCATTTCAGGGTTAAAATACTCTGAGTTTTCAGTTAACCTCCTTTCTGAAACAGGCCCCAGGTGTTTTAGAATGACCAAAACAACATTTTAGACGTGCTCAGCCTGCTGGTTTGTGCATTCACACACATTTTCATCATCATAGAATCTCTTATAGCCAACCTTTTTTAATGCACAAACTGGAATTTGTTCAGTAAAGGTGCTGGCGTACTTTACGTAAGTTTATCTTTTAGTTCCTGCCTGACTGCTTGAGTCCATGAAGTGATTATTTTTAATTTACACACCGGTTTCTCTTTTCTTTCAGATTTTACCTCATAACTAGGGCCAAACAGAATCTTGACCTTTTTTGCTATTTCTTCTGAGAATTTAGTATAAAAAATAAATAAATAAATAAAAACTGCGCATTTATGTGGTTTTATTTTGGGAGTATCTTAATTAAAAGCTTTTTACAAAGCAAATCTATCTAGATCCACTTGTTTGGTAAACAAAGCAAGTCTCTTCTATAATATCTCTACTAAAAGACAGAAAATATTACTTTACACACTGTATTGTAGATAAATTAAATAAACATTTTCATATTAGTTAATAATATTACTGAAATTAATTAAAAAAACTGAAAAATAAATAAATGTACACACATTTATACAAGTAAATAAATAGACTCAATGATGGGCTAAAATTCTGCGGATTTCTGTGCACACAGATTTTATGTGGGCCTACTCATAACCTTCTGGCGTTTTTAAAACGAAAATGAAAAAACGGCTCATTTTTCTTTTTCGTGGTGAAAAACGAAAAAACAAAATTCAAAAATGATTAGATTTTTTATTTTGAATAGCAAAAAATAAAATCACCAGAAAACAAAAACGGTCAGTGTATGGTCCGTGTACGTTTTGTTCATTTGTTTTCCATTTTCAAACGGAATAAAGGAAATGGAGAAAATGGCCGTTTTCCCATTTTCTTTTGCTCACGAGAAAACGAAAAAACAAAATTATGGCTGGATTTTCATTTTTTTGGTTTAGGGTAGGAAAACGGATAAGCGACTTTAAAATTAATTTTACACATGTAGACGGGGCTGAAACGCCCATTTTTACGTTCGCCCTCAAAATAAAAGCCTTACACGCAGGCTTTTATTTATTATTAATTAGCCTATATATAAACTAAGTTTACATATTCTATCATTTGAACCACACACAGTTGGCAGGCTTACATTCATTGCGTATGTATAAACTAAATAAAAACATAAATTAGCAGTATTCTTAGGGTGCTTTTACACCTGTGAATCGATTCAGTTGTTCCGAAACAGAGATTACAAATGTTACATTGTTGCTCTTTGCTCTTGGAGCGGTTCGCTTTCACACTGCAAAGTTTCTAATCGGACCAAAAGAGCTAAAACATGTCACGTGCGAGTAAACTCTCCTCACATTGGTCAGAGTGTCAGGGTTTATTTTGCGCTAAGCTGTCAGGAGAGGTGGTGGTTTGGTGGTGATTGACAGGGTGCGCGCGCGTGACATGTCTGAGGAGAGACACGGTGGGGAGGGGTGAGAAGGGTGCGCGACGATGCCTATTTGAGGACTGGGAGAGAGACGCGAGATTACCGGGAGATCTTCACTCGTTTGCGGGCATCCGGAGACTCGCGAAACTTCCCGCCTTACTCATAATTCTCTCTTCATATATCCGTAAGCCTATTACATATCCATAAAACACTGTGATATAATCGCGCTCGGATCGGATCGCTTTCTCACTGCAATCGAACCGCTCCAGGGTTCGTTTCAATCGAGCCGAGACCACCTCATTCAAGCGATCTCGGAGCAATTACTTTGG